AGTTTAAAGGAGATCAAGCTAAAAGAGTAGTCTTCACTGCATGAGATCCAGCATCCTCACGAACTGCAGAAGATATCTTTAGTATTTTAAGTGGAGTTTCGAGGCTACCAGTAATTCAGTAATATGAGACGTATTCACTCTATTTCGTCTAAGGTGATGAAGGACTGGTAGTAGGATTTTGCCACAATGATATGAGTAGAGCTGACGTTTCCATTGAATTTCACATAGCCTTGATTTACCAAAAGTTGTTCTCATCCCGGCTGGAGTGGACGGCAATTTCTACCTCGCATCGGCCTTATCAACACCCCTAGCGGGAGTCGAATCCGGGACAGTGCAGAATGGGAGCTTGACACGTTAACCACTCGACCACATTGCCACGAGTGCCCTTGGGTCACAGGGCAAATGTGAATTTCAAGAAAGGCTAGGCCTATTGTCATATCATATTCTTTGGTGGGATTGTCGATGAAGCAAGCGTATATTTGCTAAAACAATCGACGAAGTTATTTATTTTTCGTAGTTTAAGTTGAGTTTCATAGTTCGAATCCCGCTGGGGGTGTTGATAAGACCGATGCAAGGTCGAAACTGCCGTCCACTCCAGCCGGGATGAGAATAACTTTTGGTAAAGCAAGGCTCTGTGAAATTTAATGGAAACGTCAGATTGGCAAGTCTCACTGACGAGGTTGACTAAAATGCCTGCGAGAAGTCTGGATATGTATCAAGTCCACAGTCCGACTCTGGAAATTGTCATGCATGCCTTAGACTCCAGACTAGGTGACTTCTTCGAGGTCGGCTTGAAGACATGACCAAGATGCGAAAACAAGATCAAACAACTTTTATACAACGAAAGGAGACTGCGATTATACAAAAGATCACACTATCTTGGTCTTTATGCATTTGGTTTATAATCTTTCGACCCCTTAGCTCGTACACTGTTTTGTTAATCAGAAAAGTTAAAACGTGTTTTTAGGAATCATTGAAACGATTCACTTTATATTTCTATGTATTTTTCGGGATATCACATAGTTATTAAATTAAACAATACATTCATTTTGGGGGCTGATTTCTAGGCCCACTTGGAAGGCAGTGAAAAGCCTAGTTAAGCATGGACAACTGTTAAAAAGGCCGGTATGTTACCCTAACACGTAGTCTGTTTTAAAATAAAAAAAATATAGAATCATGAAAAAAGAAGAAGATTTATAAAAGCCATCAGAGCGAAAATGCCAAAAAGAGAAATAATGCTCAACCGAAATGCTGAGGCAAATTTGGATGCCTCAAATACTGTCACTGAATGTTATACTGACGTGGCGACGAGAAAATGAAGTGAATAAGCAAAAAATAAAGTTACATTCACACTCAAGTGTCCAAAGCCAAGCTGTGACATCTTAACTCGCAAGTGTGGCTCTTTATTAAATTACGGAAAGGTGAGAGAAAAATAAGGCCAAAGATATGCATGAACTTATCATATTTACATGCCTGCCAATCTGCCAAGCCTGGAAATTGCAGGAAAGTGAAGCGACCACAAGAAGTACCAGCCACGTGGTTGTTAAGCCTTCGGAGGTCAGACAGCCGAATCCTCAGGTCGCAGTCTGCCTGATGCGTGGCCTCAGAAGAATGGGCTACTTCAGACGGTTGAGTTTGAGGCCTGTCCAGACATGTAGGCCCGAAGAGGTGATGAAATGGCGGTTGACCAGCATAGCAACTGGAGCCATGACGACAAGCAGCAGGACTAAATAGTCGGCTACTTGTTGTTGCGAGTCGCTGGAGCAACCAGCCTACAAGGCTTATGGGCTCAGGTGAGGAGAACTGTAGAAATGAGGGTCCCAGTCGCTCCATCAAATCTCGCATAAGCTCAGGAATTTGGCCACAGTCAACTCAACTGTACTTTTCCCGGCTTCCCGACAGAAAGTGAAGCTCCATGGCATTGTC